ATGATTTTTTATTAAAGGTCATTTTTACTTTTGAGTGTAAGGGAACCATTCCAGAAGGCGATAGGATAGTTCAACTAACCGCATTTTTACCTATTAACTATCTCCGTGCACTCAATACAATGGAATCCGTATGTCAGCTGATTTCAATTACGATACATTGCCTGCAGTGCAGAATAATAATGGAAAAAATGTAATATTCGATATTTTCAATATGTTAGAGTTCATCGACACCACAACCTGTCCTCGTTTTGGGGACAGTCCCAATACAAACTGTGCAATAAGATATATTTATTCTAAATACAAAATAAAAAATTAGCTTTTTGCTACTTTTTCTTTTCTTTTATTAAGGATTAAAGCCATTAAATACGAGTACAAACTTAGTATTAGTACACATAAGACATTAGTCAAAAACTAATATATACAATTAAAAAAAAGGTTTATTCCTATAGAACTAAATGTAGACTGTTTAATATGACGATATATTGTTTGGTTTAAATATATGTTGTGGTACATGATATACATTAATGCACTACGAATAGGTTAGAACGGTGTTTCCCAACGCGGGGCTCATGCCCCACAAGGGGGCAATTTGATAATCAAGGGGAGCAATCGCACTAACTTAAAATAGAAAATCTGTGTTTTCAATTTTTCAATTTTTTATTATATGTTTTGAAATATTACTTACTGTGTTTTGATAACAATTTCACAGTGATTTCTTCCTAAAACCTATCATTTATGTTTCTTAAATGAACAAATAAGATTTAGAATGACAAAAATTATGTATGGGGGGGGGGCATAAACATTTTAGAAATGTTACAATGGGGCATGGCATACAACAGTTTGGGGGGAAACACTGGACTAGAAGTCTTTATACCACTAGTAGTAGATTGATCAGCTTGCATTGCCTTTTTCTACGAAGATAACATAAATGTTTATAATATGGTGAAATTGACAACATAGCCTAGTAGTTCTGAAAATACATTAATATTAACAGAAATTCCAACAAATGCAATATTAGTAGGCTTATACATAATCTTATCATTATTCGAGATCTAATAGAGAAAACCACAACATTGAACTAAATGATATGGCATTTATATTGAGGCATATACGTGTTCGTTGGTAGTACGTTGTGACTCACACTGGTGCAGAATGGGCTTTCCAGCTTGAGGTCGGAATCGAGCTCACTGGCGTGCTCGGTTTGATCTTGAAAATTTTCACAAAATGCTGAAGAAGATTTTTTGCCTTTATCATATAACTTACTTATTCATGTCATTGATTAAAATTGATATAGGTTTCTGTATTTATATTTATCAGCCCTAAAGGGATAATCGCACTAATATTTGGTTTTATGAACCTCATTTGTATACAATTTTCCAACACGAACATCAGACACGGAGGAAAATTCTGCGAAATTTTACCGTAAAATTTAATGGTGAGAAACGCGCATCACATATCAAACAGTACAGTACAATAAGTACATGGTGTTTGTCAGGTTGTTCAGGTGGCTTTTCAAAGAAATTAAACCGCAACTTTTAGAGGAGCTTTTACAATGTTAAAGATTTTATAGACGATTCTCTGAACGATATCCTCGCTAGATGCGCTATTTCACTTTTAATATACATTTTTACTATGAGTGAAATAACCTATAAAAATGAATGGCAAAACAACTTATGTGTTTTAATGCGTAATTCTTTTATAATAGTTTGGTTTTCCGAGGTTTGACGAGTCAATATGAAATGAAATTATCTTGGCGTATTGCTACATATAAATGATAAACACAAATTGTGTATTGGAAAGATGACACCTCGTCAACTTTCAACTAATGTGAATTTCAAACAAGGTTTGCGGGGACCATTCAGTGGTAGGCAACGGTTTCGCTGTCTTTAGCATTGTCGACTTCCATGAGCGACAGTAACAACTCACTATCAAGTAGACTGTATGCTCATCTGTCTACAAGGGAAATAATATCATAATATGTTTGAATAAATAAAACCTAAATTGTGCTAACTACAAAATAAGCAGTTTGCATATCTAGAAATTCCAAACCAACATATTGGATTTGGATTGTCGTTTCACCTGCTCATTGGAAGATCTTCCCTTTGCTATTTCCTCCCAAGCAGGTGACCTGTGGCGGGACACCACCAGGGCGTCATCAACGTCACTACCGCAATAACAACTTCGTTTTCCCGAAATACAAAAATATTTTAAGGAATCTTCCAAACGGTTCGTCATCGTTTTCGAACTACATTTCTTGCTGACTAATATATTTAGTTCGTAGAATTATCATTTGTTGTCTTAGAGGCCTTACTACTCCTACTACTACTACTGCGCTGGTGCTATGACCCCGAAATAGGTCTTGGCCTCCGACAATTAACGTTGCCATTCATCCTGGCGCTGCGCAACACCTTGGGGCATACGTAAATTTCCTTTCACAGTGGCATTACTTACTTTTAAATAATAAAAAATAATATATAGTAAAGAAATTCATGGCATGGAAATATGTCTGTGCCAATAACATTATACGTGATAAATACGAAACGCTGATAGCTTGAAAAGTTTTTTGTAACAGGAAACCTACGCAGCCTAAAAGCGGTAGAAATTATTACATTTGACGATTGAATTATTTTCAAACATTACGTATAATTTACCTTTAAAACATTAAAGTACTTGGGTTGTTTTAATTTATGAATTGTGAAACTAGTACTTGTGTGTTTTAGTATAAAGGGCAAAATACTCATCATTATTCTCTTACTCGTATTACACAGACGTAAGCGAACTAGAATTATCCAAATAAACTATATATAACGATCGAATAAATTTACATAAATTATTTTTTGGGCTCAAGTTTCGTCTAATTATATAGTTATAGTATAGTTAGTCCTTTGTACTACATGTTGAACACAATTTTTTTAAGTAATATTCCTTATTAAGTTCTGTGTTGTAAATAACAGTAATATTGTAACATTTAAGTTTTAGTTTATGCATAGCCGGCGGTGCTTTCTTTAGAGACATTTGTCATCGTTCGACCCTACAATTATTATTAAATTAATTAAGTTAATTTTAAGTTAATTAATTAAGTTTTATGGCTACTGTTGGTCTGGTCGTTCGAGCAGTGTCAATATATAAGTACTTACACTTGTATTCTAATATTGTTTATTTTTCGCAGTTTTATATTTGGTGTTCATAAACTCTATTATTTTAACATAACTACAAAAAATATATTTTTTTAATTCGTAAATTGATATTTGCGTTCTAATAAGTTTGTTTTTTATGTTAGATCAGAAAGGTTTATCTATCAAATAAGACGGTGAACGAATATGAGAACCACTCTAAGTAGACGTCGATATGCAAAGGAGGAATTTATCTGTTTAATGTATAATAATTCTCAACATATAGTCATTCAAGAATTATTAAGCATTTTAATAAGTTTTTATCAATGTGCTGCATTACTATTATTATTATTAATTCTGTAGAATAGAGTGGGCCAACAAGAATGCGTGATTTTTTTATTTATTGCTTAGATGGTGGGACGAGTTCACAGTCCACCTGGTGTTAAGTGGTGGTGGTTAATATAATTGCGTCACCCACCTTGAGATATAAGTTCTAGTCTCATTATAGTTACAACGGCTGCCCCACCCTGCAAGCCAAAACGGCAGAAATAGAATCTGCTTCACGGCAGAAATAGGCAAGGCGGTGGTACCTACCCGCGCGGACTCACCTACCCGTACCAGTAATTACGCAAATTCTAATTTTGCGAGTTTGATTTTTATTACACGATGTTATTCCCTCACCGTGGAAGTCAATCGTGAACATTTGTTTAGTACGTATTTCATTAGAAAAAATGGTACTTGCCTGCGGGATTCGAACACCGTTGCATCGCTAGATACGAATGCACCGGACGTCTTATCCTTTATGCCACGACAACTTCAATTCTTATTCAATGATTTTTGCCACAAATGTTAGGAATAAAAAACCTAACAAGAATCAGTGAAAGGGAACGATTCATGCTTTTTACCACAGAGAACTTGAAGATTTTAAATCGTTAAAGCTCATTTGTATCTTGACTGATACCTCGATCACTTCTCTCAAATTTTTTATATCAAAAAACAGAAGTATGCATAACAGGCGACCATTTACTATACAATCATGATTCTTGAAGTGTTTAGTTTAAACTTTATTCTGAACACAATTATTACAAGATAGATCGATTGAGATCCACAAATATAAAAAAAACGGTTTCCAAGACCATTTTTAGAAAGTATAACCAAGTAAGCGGTTATTTGTTAATTTTTATTTTATTTATATTTGAACATAAATAACATTAACAACAGTTTTAAAGAAACCATACGAAAATAGAATACCATACATTTTACGAATATAGAATCAAACTAAAGTATATAAATTCTCGAATGTACTAGAACTTGTGCGTAAGTCATTTCGGTAATGACTTCACTATAGTATTTAATTTTATCAAGACATCTACAACAATCTCCAAGATCGAAACGTGGATGATCAAGAAACAGCTACTTTTATAAATATGATCATTTAGATTTCTAGATGCTATTATAATACATGCAAATTACATTTTTTCACCGCCACGCGGGGTTCGCCTGATATTTTTAGTAAAATCAATTAAATGATAATATTATATGTATTATTTACTAAAAATTTCAAGCGGACTGAATTGAATTATGGTATTCTTTTAAAAGGCAAATATTACACCAAACAAATCAATATGCCACCGAGGACCGTCATCTTCGGACGTAGTAGCTTTAACGACGATTGGGAAAATACAATACAAGCAGTGTGTAGTCTCATGTTTGACGGGGATTGGCAGAATTCACCTTCTGTGAGCTCCGGTAATCACTTAACACCAGATGGGCCGTAAGCTCGTCTGCTTAGGTGTAATAAAGCATATCTTTAAACCTGTATTAGAACGCACAAAATACATGAATACACAATGTAAATAAACAGAGCATAACAAATCAAGAACTTACCGTTGTCTTCGTCAGTCGGCAGCGGACCAACGGAACCGAAGAATCGTTTGTCGAGGAGCTGCAGCAGCTGCAAGGCGCTTTCGTGTACCGGGGCTCGGGGGCAGCCAGTGCACATGAGGGTCACGTTGATAATAGCAGTATAGTGATCGCACGGGTACTCCCTGTGAAGAAGGAACTGCGTAAACTATGGACACTAACTAGTGGTAGGACCTCTTGTGAGTCAGCGCGGGTAGGTATCACAACCCTGCCTTTTTTTGCCGTGAAGCAGTAATGCGTTTCGGTTTGAAGGGTGGGGCAGCCGTTGTACTGTTAAAAGTGAGAACGTACAACTCATGTCTCAAGGTGGGTGACGGCATTTACGTTTTAAATGTCTATGGGTTCCGGTAACCACTTAACATCAGATGGGCCGCGAGTTTGTCTACCCCTTTAAGCAATAAAAATAAGTAAAACGATGAGCGCAATGATGATGCAGTACACACAATATTCATATGAAAAATGCTGTATTTAATTTAAATTTAATATTAAATTTAACGGCCGTCTGGTGTAGTGGTAAGTGACATGGTCACTACACAAGGGGGTCGCGGGTTCGAATCCCGCCAATTTGTATGATAAATATAAATGTCTTTTCCAGGGTTATGGATGTATATTAAATATGTGTATGTGTATAATAAAAAAATCTTAAATTTATTTCCGTCATCTGGTACCTGTAACACAAGTTCTTTACGAACTTATCACAGGACCAGTTAACGTAGCGTGATTGTTAGTAAATATTTATTTATATTTATGGAGAGACTTGTACAATTTCCGATTGATAGTGTTGTGTGATACCACAAAAAACTGCAAAAACAAGAATAGCAAAAGATAGTAAATATGGTCTTAATACTGTCCATGATTTGTGAAGACAGAATAAGTTTTATTTCTGTATTCATTGTGTTATTAAAGGTGACTTTTGAAATGAAATTATTCTATTCAAAGCAAGGGCATTCTATAACGGTTTTGAATGGCGACGACTTTGATAAGGTTTCAAAATCCGATTTGACTACAAGAGAATCTACAAGTATTTTGGCCACCACACGAACTTGAGCGAGTCCTTTGATCCAAATGTTCTAAAGGGAATTTAGAGAAAGTTCTACAACTTCTTTGTGAACGTTACACATAATTCAGAAGGCGATAGTTGCATGCGATCCACAGCTATATACTGGTTTTATGTTACAAAGCGGGGTTCAATGGTTCGAGGTGTAGAAGGGTGGCTGGTTCACACAACACTATAATCTGATATAAGTTGTCGCTCCGAATTAATAAAATGGAAACTTCGTACCTATACAAAAGCAGAGCGTGCGCTTTGGTTTCACACAAACCTTTAAGATCACAATATTCAATCACGTGTGTTCAAATGTATACGCTAAACTTTAGGCTTATGCAATAAATATGTATGTACATACGCGTATTGTACGATAATTTTAACTTGCTCTATTAAGTATTGGAATAGTTCAAATTGCTGAACGGTGTAATTAAACAATGGCTCAAGCCGTGTGAGTTATTGAAAACATTCCATACATTGATTTACTCTATGGCTGATGGTTTATAGAAAGTATTACGAAAGAGCTTTAATTAAAATAGTACGAAGCTCATTTAAAAAAAATGCTTTGTACAGTTTGTTTTGGTTTCGAATATATAAATAATTTATTTGTATATTTAATTAAAATCGGGTTTAAGCAAAAATGAAAATTAATACAATATACTTTACGTTCAGTAGATTTCAATGAACTTATAGTTTCGATTCGGAACGCGTCGCCTTTGACTTCGTAGCAATAATTAAGAGCTAGTACCATCGGCGGCTGGAGTGAGTCCACTTTTCCAAGATACCTCGCACAAAGGACTAACTGATTCCGGCGTCGACTGATCGGATAGCATCATAATTAATACAATTTCCTTTTGCGACTACAAACAAGGAGGTAGCACGTTGCAAGTTAATTTTGATGCCATCGTAGAGCTCGATTTACTCGCCGCATGCTCGAACCTACAGAATGCACTGTATCCTATACCAATACATGTGAGCTCGTCAGAACGATAATTTGTAAGCAGAGACATAATTATAACATAGATACAACTCGGATTAAATTAAAGCCGGGACTTTATTATGAGACGTTGTACAGTCTAACGAGATTACCAATTTCTTAATATATATTGTATTTTTATTGCGTAGACGGGTTGAAAGACCTTATAATAGTTCTGAGAATATTTTTCAGTTAGATGTAACAACGTTGTCTTAGAGATTCCTTGAGATATAAAGGGACGTTTTGCTCGTAATTGCGTCTTCGTGAAATCAATACAGTTAAGCTGATTAAATGAGTTGCTCGTGTACAAGTTTCAAATTTGTATAAATTTAATTAGTTTTCGTCCAAATTTTACGGCACATTTCTTACAATATATTGCAGAAAATCCACTTCAAACGAATTCAATTTAAAAATATTCCATATACAAACTATCGAGAATTTTCTTTCAAATTCAGAAGAATTTTATGAATTGGTATTCATCTAGTTAGAGTATTTATCCGACTTCTTTTTGGTGCTTCATACTTACGAATCCCGTTCTGCATATTTTTATGTTCCGCGATGTAGAAACAGTAGCCATTCTTATCGATGAACAATTCGGATTCCGTACAAATCACTCATGCGTTCAACAGGTGCACCGCCTCACGGAGCACATTCTTGTGGGGCTTAATCGACCAAAACCGTTATACACGGGAGCTCTCTTCTTCGACGTCGCAAAAGCGTTCGACAAAGTCTGGCACAATGGTTTGATTTTCAAACTATTCAACATGGGCGTGCCGGATAGTCTCGTGCTCATCATACGGGACTTCTTGTCGAACCGCTCTTTTCGATATCGAGTCGAGGGAACCCGCTCCTCCCCACGACCTCTCACAGCTGGAGTCCCGCAAGGCTCTGTCCTCTCACCCCTCCTATTTAGCTTATTCGTCAACGATATTCCCCGGTCGCCGCCGACCCATTTAGCTTTATTCGCCGACGACACGACTGTTTACTATTCTAGTAGAAATAAGTCCCTAATCGCGAAGAAGCTTCAGAGCGCAGCCCTAGCCCTAGGACAGTGGTTCCGAAAATGGCGCATAGACATCAACCCAGCGAAAAGTACTGCGGTGCTATTTCAGAGGGGAAGCTCCACACGGATTTCCTCCCGGATTAGGAGGAGGAATCTCACACCCCCGATTACTCTCTTTAGACAACCCATACCCTGGGCCAGGAAGGTCAAGTACCTGGGCGTTACCCTGGATGCATCGATGACATTCCGCCCGCATATAAAATCAGTCCGTGACCGTGCCGCGTTTATTCTCGGTAGACTCTACCCCATGATCTGTAAGCGGAGTAAAATGTCCCTTCGGAACAAGGTGACACTTTACAAAACTTGCATAAGGCCCGTCATGACTTACGCGAGTGTGGTGTTCGCTCACGCGGCCCGCACACACATAGACACCCTCCAATCCCTACAATCCCGCTTTTGCAGGTTAGCTGTCGGGGCTCCGTGGTTCGTGAGGAACGTTGACCTACACGACGACCTGGGCCTCGAATCAATTCGGAAATACATGAAGTCAGCGTCGGAACGATACTTCGATAAGGCTATGCGTCATGATAATCGCCTTATCGTTGCCGCCGCTGACTACTCCCCGAATCCTGATCATGCAGGAGCCAGTCACCGTCGACGCCCTAGACACGTCCTTACGGATCCATCAGATCCAATAACCTTTGCATTAGATGCCTTCAGCTCTAATACTAGGGGCAGGCTTAGGGACCCCGGTAACCGTACTCGTCGAACTCGACAAAGAGGTCGACGTGCAACCTAACCCATGCATCAGCCCGCTGAGTTTCTCGCCGGATCTTCTCAGCGGGTCGCGATTCCGATCCGGTAGTAGATTCATTCGCGAAACAATTGCTCTTGAGTTGTTAGGTCTCCTTCGGAGGCGCTCGGGCAGTTGTTAGCAAATCCCACCCCTCTTGGCTGAGCCTTTGCTCGCCCACCTGTCCTGGTGAAACTGGAAAGGCCTTCGGGCCACCAGTAAACTTACAATCATAAAAAAAAAAAAAAAAAAAAAAAAAAAGAAACAGTAGAATATTGAGTAATTTAAATGTAATAATTAAGAATAAGCTCGCATAATCAAAACCAAAAGCGATCAACGTCCATTTTCTCTAACTGTACTTAAGCAAGAAGACATGAAACATGTCACAAAACCGAATATCCATTTACTGCTCTGTAGTAAAGCATGTGTTTCATTCAATATTCAACTTAATATCTAACGATTAGTTTTACGCTTACAAATATTGTTGGTTACATTAGAGCACGAGTAGTGAGCAATAAATTTACGTAGCCTCTGCCGCACCAGTACAATGCAAATTATTCATTATATTATTTGTGTAATTGACAAGTTCGTTAGTACGGGATGTTAATCGACGGAATTCAAATGTGAAGTTATCGTGACTCGACAGTATTGCATTGTATGTATGTGTATGTGTCCGTGGAGGTGTGGTTGCGTGGCAATGGAAAATAAATTAAAGCAAAAAAACATATGACAAAAACATGTGCACAATTCACACGTGGCAGAAGTGAAATCTTCAAAAATTTCTGGTTTCAATGAAAATGAGACGAATGTAAAATTTCGAAAAGAGGATGATTGTAGGTTTTAGTAGTGATCATAGTGATACAGTGCAACCTTAATATAACGAACCTCAATATAACGAGGTCCTCGATTTAACAAATTCTTCGTTATCCCTTAGAATTGTCCGTAAGAGTCAACATAAGATATACATTTACACTGCGAAGATTTCTTGCGAACAACCAACAACAAAGAATTTTCAACTATCAAAAAAAGGTGTAAATAACTCTAATTAAAGGAATGTTGTCAACCCAAAGCCTTTATATAACGTTCCCACCAATAAGACCCTTAATTCCATAGTACGTGAATCAGTCTCGACAGGCTTGAGAAACATTGTTACCTACCTAATTGTTTTTAAATGGAAAATACATACAGTAATTTGATAAAAATGTGTTATCATTTATTAATAATAAATGTTCGCTATAACAAGATGAGTGCTTAATGTTGAGGTGAATGAAACATTTTTTTTTTACCTCGTTTTAACAAAAGGTAGAG